CGGGAGAGGGACCTCGGGAGAGGCAGCCCGTGGCCGGCCGGGCTCCGCTCCGCGCGGCACCGGCAGCGGCGGGGGCAGGGAACGAACGAACCGGAGCTCACGAGCCCGAGAGCGGAGCGGCTAGGCGGGGAGGGGACGCACTGCCGAGCCGGGGCTGGAGCGGCGGTGGCGGCGGCGACAGCGGGGGAGGGACGGCCCCACGGACGGACCGACGCACGAACCGACCGAGTGAGGGAGGGACGAGCGAGACTTCGCCGGCGAGGAGGAGCCGCCCGAGCGGCGGCTGCTGGGCGCTTCCCCGCGCTGCTGGGCGCTCTGCGCCTCGGCGGCCCCCGGCCGCAGCTTCCTCGCGCGCGCGGGGCGCGGGGCCTGGGGCTGGCTTCGGCGCAGGTAAGAGGGAAGCGACCGAGCCTTCCGGAGCCAGCAAGTGCTAGGAGCGCTGCTCCCACGCCTGTTGCTCCGGCTGCCCACGCGGCACCCTCCCACTCCCGCGCCCGGGTGGGTGGGCGCTGGGGCGCCGGAAGGATTGGGGGTGGGGCCGGGGCCGTGGGGGAGCAGGCAGCGGGCCTGGGGGCGTCGGTTCCCTCGGCTGTGGAGCTACCTCTGGGCACCCAGGCGCTGAGAGGTTTGGGGGTGGGGGTGTGAACCTCTGCCCTCTTGCCATTGGCCTGCCTTCCCCTGCCGGGTGCCAGAAAGCAGCGCCCCGGGATCTGGCTGCAGGTGGAGACGGTTTGCTCCGTCCCTGCTCTTTGTGAGCTAAGGAGAGAAATGGCTGAGAGTGGAAGCTGGGAGCCGTTTGGGGCGCTTCGCAAAGTTCTCCAGCCCAGCGAGCCTGTGGTGCGCCTGCCAGAGGCTGGGGGCCGGTCCAGCTGGTCCTGCCTGTCACATCTTCCACCCTGTGGACCCTAGGAAAGGTGTCTTATGTGTTATGAGCGGCCCTGGGGAAGGGGTTTCAAAGACTCTTTTGCTTTACAAGGTGTTTACACTGGGGATGGGCAGAGAAGTTACCTAGAATCAACTAAATTCCTGTACTTGCTCAGTGCTGGCATTTGATCCGGCCCACGATGTTCTCCTTTCATCCCGGGCAGCCTTGATAAGTCAGCAACAGGCTGAGGTTCCAGACCCGAAATCAAGGCAACGAGAAGTCTCCGTGTATTTCACGCAGCCTCTGAACTTCCACGGGGTGATAGGCACAATGCAATCGGTAATCAGGTTTTACAGGGTGGTCATGCATGAATGTAGGTGATGCTTGAATCGATGCATTATTTACTGTTACTTCAAGGGAACCTGAATGTTTATCTCGGGGCAAGGGGGCTTTTGGGCATACGTTCAATACAAAGCGTGTGCACATTTCCCCCATGTGAACACATACCGGCCCACCGAAATGTTTATTTTTCCGTGTTGCTTCTTGAATGCTACAAGACTCTAGAGGAAGAAGGATTAGCAGCAGCTTGTTCCCTTTTGCTGTTGAGGAGCCTGGAGAAAAAGAGTTCGGGGAAACTGCCACCCTAGGAGTATCACCGCAGGGAAGACGGCCTGTGCCCCCAAAGATCTCCAGCTTGGTTCCCCTCCCCATTTCATACCTGCCTAACAAAATCCCACCAACACAGGACAGACTCCCGGGGAGGGTGAAACGGTCCCCCAGACCAGCTCCAGTTTCTGAGGACTCTCTCCTGAGGTCATTGAAGGGCAGATCTTGGTGATGTGACATTTTTGCCGCTTTGTGTCTGTGCTCAGGTGAGGTGTTGAACCCCAGGACGGGAGGTCTGACCTTTTTTTGATCCTCTGACGCCAAAATAGAAGGTGCTTTGCAGGGCAGCTGACTTTTTGAAGCAAGAGAAAGTGGTTTCTTTTTTTCCCGATTTTTTTTCTCGTTTATCATTTCTGAGTTCACCTGGTTTTTAATCTCTCTTCCTCCTGCATCCTTACCTTACCCCACTGGTGAATCTTTCCCACTGTCAAACTCTTTTGCCATAAACAAAAATAGCCTCAGAGTTTTCATTTGTAAGGCATCCACGTCCTAGTAAAACTGTGGTATGGGAGGTGTGTGCGGTGCCATTGGCTGGAAATGGGGCCGCACTGTAGTGCCTGTTGCAGGGTTCATACCCAGGCCAGCTCCAAGAGGCGCTGGCACTGTTAGGGGTGAGTGTTGCTACGACAGCCTGCAGAAGTCCTGCTTGAGCCGGGTCATCCCTGCAGGGTTGTATAGTGGGTGTGGCTGGTATGGACTTGGGCATGGTGTCTGTTGGGATTATTGTCCTCTTCCAAACTCAGGCATGTACAATATATGACCATGTGCATGCACATTCAAATGCACACAGAAAGTGGCACAAAAACAAAAAAAAAAGTAATTGCTGTTTTCTTGGTACTTTTGACCAAAAGGATGGATTCTGAGTCTCTGGGGACAGTCTGGTACTTGCATGACCTTCTTGAGAAAGATTGTTTTGGATTATTGTACAGGGTAAAACTTTGCCCTTGGGACAAAAGACTTTAGGATAGATAGGGAGAGGATTAGTGCTGCCTTTCTCTGAGCTTTCAATTATCCATCAGAAAACAGTTTGTGCATTACTCATGGCCTTGGAAAAGAAGAGTTGACTCAGTAAAGAGGGCGAGGGGATGGAGCTCAGCTCGCAGAGGCAGGCAGCTGGTGTTGGGACTCCAGAATCCCAGGGGCAGTACTGGGAGACTAGCAGGAGAAGGGCATTGTCCTTTCAGAGCCATGTGTCTGGCTAACAAGATTCTTCAGGGTACTTCCTGATTCAGCAATCTCTTAATCTTTGCCATTTGAAACCCTGCCAGGCCCATCTCTTTGATAAAGCAGGGATGCTGGGGTCATGAGTCAAGGGGCCAGCAAGGGCCTGAGGTCTAGCCCTCTTTCCTTCCTAGGAGAGTAAGGGGGTTTCTGTGGGTAGACTAGGCCTTTGATTGCCTTGGGTTCCAACTGGTGCAGGTTGTGTGCCCTGTTCTGGGTACCAGCCTCATCAGGAATTCCCAGAACTCCCTCTGCTGAGATGAAGCTCAGGCTAATTGCATCCCCACAGCAACCAACCCAGATGCTCTACTTCCCGCTCTGCATGGGCAGCCATCATAAGGCAGTCTCAGAGAGACAGGAGATGTAGCGTCTGTGTCCCGGATCCAGGAGAATCATTTGGATCAAAAGGTCCTCCGTCACTTTCTTTTTTGGCTTTCATTTTACAGATGAGGAATCTGCAACCCAGAAAGTTAACAGTGGCTTGCTTTCAAAAGTTAAGGGTAATACTAAGACAGACGGAAAGGTCCTGGGGTCTACAATCTCAGTTGCCCGCCTCTTCTAAGGGACCATCAGGATTGGGCTGCATTTGACAGTGAGCCAGACAACGGTCTGGTTTGAAAACTGTCCACCCCTTATATTCATTAACTTAAACACTTGGAAGGAAACTTCCGAGCCTTAGGCCTATTTTCCTATCACTAATAGGCAAAAAAAAAATCACAGATTTTTGTGGGAATAAATTAAATGTTATATGTTGTGCAAAAGTGCCTTGGATAGTACCCACCCAGAACTTGATCGGTGCTCAGGAAACATGGCCTGAGTCAGAATTGGAATTATCTATAACTAGTGTTCAGCTCATGTTCGTTTCTGAGGCCCTCATCCCTTGGAAACCCAACTATATGCTGGGGGACAGGGACATCTCCTGGCCCAAAGAAAACCTAGCTCATTGTAAGGGCGAATGCCTTGAAGACAACTACCCAATGCAGAATGTGTTTCTGAGTCTTCTCTCAGTAGTGCGTGGATTACCTGCTGTCATGGATGAATGACCTCCACTTTCCTCTCTTCTCTCAGTTCCTATAATCAAGAGCTCATCAGGCCCATGCTGTTTTTCTATCCTCTGAGCAGGTGACACCTATAGCAATTGCCATTCTCATTGTCTTCTGTAGCATCTAAACAACCTTCAAGGGAGAGAGGGGCTTTTGAAAATTTCCCCCTTAGCATGTAGGTGGGGAAACTGAGGCAGAGAACAGTTCCTCAAGGACACTTAACTGAGACTACCGTTAGTCTGCAGACACTCAATTCTCAGGATTTTGATTCAACTTTGTCACTGTTTAGAGAGAGAACAGCCAACCTTGACAACCCCAGGAAACAGTAGCAAGGCACAGAGTTAAACTGATGGCGAGCAAGAAGCGTCTATAAAATAGTGGTCCTGGCTCCAGTACCTGCTCACGCACTACATTCACTATTGCTGTTTGCTGGGCGAGGTGGAAAGCTAAGATTACACGGACTTTGCCCTACAGGATCTTTGTGGGGCCCAGGGAGTGTCCTGCCTAGAGTGACTCCCAATGAGTTCTGACTACTTATTAATCATGCCGAAAGTCACGACCACTCCTTATCTTTCATTTTCCTTATGTACGAGATGAGGACTACAGTGGTGTCTACTCCAAAAGCAGGAGTTGTTTTGGTGGCTTGATGGAAACAATCCATGGATGTGTAAGGTACTGATCCTGGTGTGGCCAGTGCTCGGTAATCTATTCAAGGTAAAATCCCTGACCTGTGCTTCAGGGTAATCAGAATGCTAGGTATCTGTAGGCCTTTGGTTTTCTTATTCATGAGATGGTGGACATGATAGACTCTTCCGCCTGGGATTGCTTTGAGTATTAAATGAGACAGTGCAGTGCCTTGCAATGAGTATCTGGCCATTTATTATTGTTAATGTCATCAATGTTAATGAAGGGGATACAGAGCACAGCAATCCAAGCTTGGCATGGCAGGTGCTAAAGCAGAAAGCCAGAGCAAAGAGAGCCCAAAGGAAGGAGAGTCTTGGGCGAAGAGGAAGTGTCACCAGGAAGAACGGGTAGGATTTCAATGAGCAGGGCAAGAGGAGGGACAGGGGTTATACTCCAGAGATAGACATCCAAGGTTTGTTTGTGAGCCAGGCTCTGCCCTTGTTGGAGGCTGGGAGGGTACCTGGACTGCCTGGCTGATATGTTAAGTTGGGTCCCTCTACAAAGATGCCAGGCCAAGGAGTTAGGGTTTTATTTCAAAGGCTACAGGGTAAAGCACAATCAGAACCTTGCTTTAAGGAGACTACTCTGAGTAGAATGAATTTCAAGGTAATGAGAGGAATCGAGGGGTGGTGAGGGGGAGAAGAGTGAGACAAGGATTCCAGCGGGAGGGAGGAGCAGGGAGCCAGTCTTTCACGGTGTTTCACTATTTGGCAATCCTTGGAATAGAGTATAAAAGACACGGTCAGGGTAAGTGGCCTAGGGTGAGGGATGCTGTGGGCAGAAGGTGAAGGACAACACTCTGGATGGAGATAGTGTAGGCTTCTCTGCTTCAGAGGCATCCAGGTGGAGAAGTCCAGGAGCAGCTCAAGAGAAAAAGAATCAGAAGAGCTGAGAGTTAGGAAGCGGGTGAAGCGGCATGCCTGGAGAGATGGAGGCCGAAGTTCATCACAAGTCTCTGCGTATAATACGTCACCCAACAGCAAAACCAGACAAACAGCCAACACAACAAACTCCCAAAGTCACCTCTGCCTAGTTTATTTCAATACAGAAATAAACGAAGTGAGTGCTAGAGAATCCAAATAACTCTGAGCTAGGATTTGGCTCGGCGCTGTGTGATCAGTTTGGGATTAGTGGAGTTGAGTGTGCCAACCCCAAACAATTTCCCGTCACTGTTACGTGTGTTTCTGTGTCACCACATGGCTTCCCACAGATGGTATACATTTGGGGACTGTGGAGTCATTTCACTATCATCTTTAAAAAGCCAGATCTGGGAAGGTAAATCTGCTTCCCAAAGCCAAATATAGTTCTCTCTGCCATTGTTCCCTCCGTCCAGGCAGGTGACGGGGAAATGTGGTGCAGAAAGCTGTGAGCGAAGGGACGGGGGTGCCCAGCTCTGCAGAAGTTTCGAAGGGTGCAGTAGAGGACAGGTGAGAGAGCCTGGCATGGAATGGCGTATTGTTATATAATGGGGAACTCTGGGTTCTGGGCAGATGGAGATAGGAGGCGAGGAAAGACAGTGAGCATGGCTCAGCTTGCTCTGCGGAGGGACAGGGACAGTATGTGGAAGTCAGGTGGACCAACAACCCAAGAATTCCTTCATGGGGTGGGAGAGGGACCCTACACAACCTCGCCACCTTTCCCTCGTCTGCTCACCATGCTTCTGAAGGCTGCGATTGGACAGTAGGTTGCTAGGGCAAGGATCCAGGCCAAGCATCCTCAAGAGCAAGTAGCAATTTGCCGGAGAAGACTTTCTCTATGGGAGTTAGGGGTAGACGTTTACTAGGCTCAGGCTTACTGGGGTCTCCTACCTTGGCAGAATTTTTTAAACCCAGCCCCAGTCTCCTTCCCACCAGAGAGAAATAGAAAGGATATGTTTACTTGATCTCCTTCATTGGCACCCCAATTCCTGATTACCCTGGTGGATGAAGAGTGAAATAAAAATTAGCATGTTTATCCCACTTTTAAATTCGTTTAATGAGAACTCATTTACCCTCTCCCAATTTAAATTTGCAATAACACCCATAACCTTTCAGAGCTAATTATTACCCATCTTCCCAGATCTTCCTGTTAAAGGCTTTTCTTTCCAAGTACTCCTGGACCCCCCTGGAGCTTGACACTTTGTCAGCCAGTCAGCCTTGTGAGGTGCCACCCTTGCATCACTATTAGAATTCCCTCTTGGGGTGCTTTCAGTTTTAACTTGCCTTGGAGACTTGCCCATTCACTCAGTGACACTCCCCTTGTCCCATCCTCGAAAAATCAAAGTAGACTTAGCCCTTTCTCTGATCTCTTCTGTCCCCCAGGAGTCACTGAACTAACTCCAAGCTGGTGTGCACAGTGTCTGGGCAGCTACCAGCCCAAAAGCTGGGGTCACCATGGCGGCGGGAGTTGCAGCCTGGCTGCCTTTTGCCCGGGCTGCAGCCATTGGATGGATGCCAGTGGCCAACTGCCCCATGCCTCTAGCTCCAGCTGACAAGAACAAGCGGCAAGATGAGCTGATCGTCCTCAACGTGAGCGGACGACGATTCCAGACGTGGAGGACCACTCTGGAGCGCTACCCTGACACCCTGCTGGGTAGCACAGAGAAGGAGTTCTTCTTCAATGAGGACACCAAAGAGTACTTCTTTGACCGAGACCCAGAAGTGTTCCGCTGCGTGCTCAACTTCTACCGCACTGGGAAACTGCACTACCCGCGCTACGAGTGCATCTCTGCCTACGACGATGAGCTGGCCTTCTATGGCATCCTACCTGAGATCATTGGAGACTGCTGCTACGAGGAGTACAAAGATCGCAAGCGGGAGAACGCGGAGCGGCTCATGGATGACAATGACTCTGAGAATAACCAGGAGTCCATGCCCTCACTCAGCTTCCGCCAGACCATGTGGCGGGCCTTTGAGAACCCACACACCAGCACCCTGGCCCTGGTCTTCTATTACGTGACTGGCTTCTTCATTGCCGTCTCGGTCATCACCAACGTGGTGGAGACGGTGCCATGCGGCACGGTGCCTGGGAACAAGGAGCTGCCATGTGGAGAGCGCTACTCGGTGGCCTTCTTCTGCCTGGACACTGCCTGCGTAATGATCTTCACGGTGGAGTACCTCCTCCGACTCTTCGCGGCACCCAGCCGATACCGCTTCATTCGCAGTGTGATGAGCATCATTGACGTAGTCGCCATCATGCCCTATTACATTGGCCTGGTCATGACCAACAATGAAGATGTGTCCGGGGCCTTTGTCACGCTCCGGGTCTTCCGTGTCTTCAGGATCTTCAAGTTCTCCCGACACTCCCAGGGCCTACGGATCCTGGGCTACACCCTGAAGAGCTGTGCCTCGGAACTGGGCTTTCTCCTCTTCTCTCTCACCATGGCCATAATCATCTTTGCCACTGTGATGTTTTATGCGGAGAAGGGCTCCTCTGCCAGCAAGTTCACAAGCATCCCTGCATCTTTCTGGTACACCATCGTCACCATGACTACACTGGGGTAAGTCAGCACCACTGGCCTGGATAGGGTGAAGTTGAGGGGGTTAATCATGAAGCTTTAGATGGTGTGTCAGGATTGCCGAGAGGAGGTTTGGAGATAAAAAGCCCTTCACTCAATTCATGGAAGCCAGGGGAAGTGGAATAGTAAGAAATGAGTGATTTGTTTGTGGGTGGTGACTTGTTCTGAATTGATTCTTTTGGGGCGGGGTGAGGCATGTGTTTTATAAAACACAGGAAATCAAGTCCCTATGCCTTTCCTCCAGACAGGCAGTGTGGTGTGTGTGATGGCAGGGTGACATGCCTCTAAGGACTCTGAAGGGGAGGAGGACAGAGCAGGTGGGTGGAGGGGCAGAAGGCTGTGTGAAGTTGGGTGAATGGTGTACAATCTACACATGCAGATTTCCTTCCCCAGGCCTTCCCGCATTTCTCCTTTGTAGCATATTTGCAAACTGCTTTCTCTTTTGCCTCATTTGTCTTTTCTGCTGCCACAGACACTCGTGGGTTCAGCATCTCTGATTAGAATTTCTTTCAGTGATCCTGATTTTGGGTTTTCTGCAAAGCAAGGCACCAGTTTCTTTTTTCTCACTAAAGGAGGGACAATCTTGTTTTACCAGCTGGAGTCGGAGAAGGACTGACCCAGCCTACCTGTGTGCCCGTGAAATAGACTCAGTGGGTCATGTGGTCAGACAAGCAGCAATGCCATCAGAGGGAGAGACAAGTGCTCTGTGAGATCTCAGGTGACCTTCCCTTCCAGATCTCTGAGTTCTCCACTCCACTGAGGTCACAAAAATACATTTATGGTGCTGGGATGTTATGCTTTCCATGAGAGGAAGGGGTCCAAGGAAGGAGATTAAAATCTTCATCTTAACAGGATTAGAGCAAATAAAGGCAGCAGCTTTAGGGAGACATAGATTTCAGAGGGGTTCTGCCTCAGACTTTGGAAGCCATGAGACTAATGAAAAATCCCTCCACAATTCATATGCTGGGTCTAGATTTGCTTAGGCAAGGAAGCATTATATTGCTGATGGGGAATTCATGAAACTTTTTATTTGGTCTTTGACAATTTGGTTGGTGGCATCCTGGTGATTCAATTTTTTTCCTATCTGAAACCCTGTTGTGGTGGTGTAGGTTATTCCATAGTGCTGCGTGTGTTTATTGGGAACGACTGAGCAGGTGATTGGACCTTTTAAAGTGATTACATTTGTCATTCTGCCACAAGAGAGGAGCGGAGAGGAACAAGGGATGTCACCATCCATTTGTGAAGGCCATGTTTGATTCCCTTTACCTCTGACTGTCTAAAGAAAGCTATACAGCCATGCTTCCCACCACCACCACCACCACCACCACACACACACACACACACACACACACACACACACACCATATACATGCATATACAGGTACACACATGCACACATGTGTGTTTACCAAATAGCTAGCTGCTCTGGGACTGATCAAATGGCAGATATAAGCTTTAGACACCATGGGATATTTGGGATAAAGTGACCTGAGGACTTGGCTTCATATTTGTCCCTTCTGTGCTGACCCTGGACATCCTTCACCTTCCTAAAGAAACCCAGGCACCTCATCCCAACCCTTAAGTGTGATCCTGATGTGGTCCTGACTCCCCGGTGTCCTTACTTGCCTCTTGATGGGATTCATGACACTAAAGGGAAGAAGTTGTATTGGGATGAATACTAGGCAGATTGATGGGTGTCAGAGTTAAAAGGGGATCATTTGGAGATCAATAGGAATGTCACTGGCCACCTGCCCATTACTTTTTATTATTAGTATAATAGCATCTGGGTGTCTACTGTGTGTCAGCAGTGTACTGAGCACTTTGCATATATTATCTTTAAGTCCTCTCAGCAGCCTTGCAAGGTAAGAAAAGCTCTGTACTCTTTAAAGATACAGAAGGCGGGCCTCAGAGGGGTTCAGTAAATTCTCCAGAGTCACAGAGTTGATTTTCAGATGCCGGTCTACACACCTTCAATATCCTTTCTCTTTTCACCATGTCCCACTGTTCCCATTCCATCATGGCCTCTAGTAGAAACCAGACCTTCAGGATTACTGCTTTTTTAGATGGCCTCCGGATGTGATATTCTCTTCTAATTACATTACTAGTTGAGGAAACATGAGCTTGGTGAATATTGTATGCCAGGCACTGTCCTGGGCACACAGAGACTTTACACATCACCCATTTCCTTCTAGACAGGCCAGGAGGCTGCATTAGAGACCAGTGGCTGTTTCCACAGCTAAACTTGGGATTTTACTGCTATTTTTACTGTGGGCTAACGGTTGATTTCTTTTAGTGTTCAGCATCAGGGGGTGGGGTAGACAGTGTTGGCCTCACATTTATTTCCTGGAGGTAGTGCAGGGTGCAGGCAGGCTGCAGGAAAAGGCACTTGAGAAGGAAAAGAGTCTGCCTACACTGTGGACAGGCTTGGCTCCCCTGCGGGCCCTGGACCTCCTCACTCCATCCCCAATGGTGAACAGGCTTGTCTCTCCATCCCCAACACACTGAAATGTCTAGCTTCTGAGAGGAGAATTTAATGGGCTCGAAAAGAAGCCATTGGTCCTCTTTTCCTTCTATTCAGACGAGTTATGAGACAGCGGTTGCTTTTTCTACCTTCCACTCTGTCTGGCTGTAGCTCCTTGCTAGATCAAGCTACTTTGACTTTGACCTGAGCTGGCAGTTGGCACCATTACCAGGCTCGTTTGTTTGGCTATACATAGCAGGTGCTTGGCAAAATGCTTTTTAATGGAGGGGTCAGTGTAAATGGGGCACCTTCCTCATTTGCTTGGCCTGATACTGTTCTCAGTCTCTTCTAGATGTATCTGTCCTTTCTTGAGGGCAAATTGAAGGCTTGAGCCTGCAGCCCTGCAACAATCCCAGCCCTGGATGCTCTGTCTCAGCTCTGCTGCTCCAGGAGAGAGGAGAGCAGACTTGACTGGGTGCCTGCTCTGTCCACTGAGACGCTCTACAAGATCAGATGGATCTTCTTGCCATTACTAGGGGGACTTTCTGGAAAGTGCTTCTCTCCTGGCTGGTTTCTGTCCAAACCACATTCACTGGCTAGTTTTAGTCCTGTTCAACCACTGAAGGAAGTTCACCTGTTTGTTTTTTTTTTTAAGTCTATTTTGAATTTGAGCTCTATATGACCACGAAGTATGACGGACCCACTCTGCGGTGGTCCAGTTGCTTCCAGCAGCTCCCAGGACCTACCTACCATGCCTGTGGTTCCTCCCTACCCTACTCCTCCCTGAGCTCTCATCTCTAATCAACGATGCTTTCTTCAGCTCCTTCTCAGAGCACTGCCAGCCAGCATTCTGAGAGCCAGGACAAGCGAAGGTGTTGGCGCTGCCAGGCTCTGGTTGCCATCTCTGTCCGCTTTCCCACCTACCTCACTCATATGTCCTCCAGGGAAGGAGCTCCTGAAGCCAATTATCACCATTTATTTAATATTTCAAAATACTCTATGCACACAAGAACAAATGACAGCCCAAATTATCACCCAGGCTTGAAGACGTCTTTCCTTGGCAGGTTCCTGTGCGGTAGGAAAGACCCCTGAGCTGTGCCCAGGCTTCCCTTGTGCTCCCTTGACAGCTGAGCTCCCAAATGTACCATTCAAGGATTAATTTCCGTGTTCATAATTGATGCTATAAATAAAACAAATCCCCAATTATCTCAGTTAACAGAGGAAAGGGATAACGTGGAACTCCCAATATTAAATAAGACCAACATAACTAGTTTGGGAGTGTATTATATGAGGTGAGTTTTGTCAAAGCAAATTTCCTTTCTTAATTTTCCTTGGCTTTGCTTAGCATTATGGCTGACCTGGACTGCCTGAGCAAGTCCTTGAGGCAGCTCAGGTGAGGACATGGGGATAAGAGAAGTTGGAAGCCTTTGGGTGTGTGTCCACAAGGGCCATGGGGGGCTGACTTCTGGACATCTAGAATGGACTGCTTTTGGACATCTTAAAGAGGGTGGTTGGGCTTGGGAAAGGTGGGGGGAGGTATGGAACAGCCTCTGCTCCTTCCATGGTGGCTCACCGCCACTGTTGACACAGTTACATAATTGTCATCGGCAGCCTATCTGTCACCCTGCGCTCTGAGATGAGAGCATTTTTGACAGTGTCCAAAAAATCACTTTAACAAAAGCAGAATCGATTTTTTTTTTTTTTACTTCTTCCAAGCGTGAAGCAGTCTGCAGGTGATTTGCATTTCCCTTTAAAACCTAATCCTTGAGGGAGCCTGCCTGGGGTTCCAGGAGGCAGGAAGACTCCGGCAGGGAAGTAGAGAGAGGAACATTGTACATTGGGGTTCTCGATCAGCTCCCCACCCCCGTGCCAGAAATGGAGCTTGTCTGAGATGTGTTTCTATTCACTCTTCAATTTTCAGTGTTCTGTCTATACTTTCACAGGGGTCACAAATACCTCAGTGTAGATACTGGCTGACAGTGTTATCTGTGTGGGGTGAGATCCTGCCCACTGGACTGTTCACATTACATTTCTGAGAGTGAGTGACCTGCGGGTCTTTGTTGGCATTTCTTAATTGATAGTTCCCTGGTGCTGAAATTCCCAAGAGAGGATGCAAACTTGTATCTCAACAAGGAATCTTTCATTCCTTCAATGTTTGTGAATGCTTACTGTGCACCAGAGAGTATTGCCGACTCTGAGAATACACAAGAACTATAATTGCATTCCAGTCCAATATGAATTTGCAGGATGAATCAAACAAGGTGTATTTCCCTTCCTCGGAACATGAATGGTTATCTTCCAGACGTAAAACTACATTGTCTTCTCCAAGCAGTCTTCCCAGCTTTTGAAGATCTGGGGATCCTCTTGCCTCCCATCACATCCCTGGTGTTCTACTCTGCCGCCACCACATTATCTTGACTTTGGGTATCCGCCCCCCCCCCCCACCGCCACATCGTGAAGTCTTCAAGCGCATATCTTCTCAAGCGCATATCTTCACAGATTGCAGGGCTTGGTAGTAATA